AGCATCCCTGCGCTGTATCGTTTCATCTACTGATATTTTCTATTTCTCAGCTATGAACGCACGGGATCGTCCAGCCGCGCTCGCCATCCATGTTGACTTACTTACACGCGGGTCGCAGACAGACGATATTGGATTGTGGATGTCGGGTGTGAAACAATTGATCATGCGATTATAGATAGTGAAAAGTCGATGGACTAGCACGAATGTTTGCTGTCAAACTGGAGCAATAAATAACTTATCGAGGATATTAGTGAGCAGCTATGTACGGTGCTTCTTTGAAGATCAGTGTCTCCCGGTATGTACGTAGTCCAAGTCATCTGCTGAATGTTCTCTTTGGCGTACGAAGGGAATTGGCCAGAATCACGAGATTTCCCTTGCGTTCATCTCCCTTCAGTTCTCATCCTTCAATGTACACGGCGCGTTCGGTTTTTACACCGAAAGTGGTCCCATCACGGAAGCCGCCAGTTTCACCCGTTCACTATGTAAGTGAACGTGCAGTGCAGTAAATGTGCAGATAGTAGCTAGCACTAGGTACATGATACATAGTGAGCTGATATAAGGCCACAATATATATTACTGTTGGAATGTAATGTGTTCGTCCCTGATTGCAATCCTATCCTTCTCCCTCAGAGGTTGCAGAGCCATAGTCTTCTGATGCATTGTCGAGTAATGTTGACCATGATTGTAGAATAGTGTGGACGTCGCCGAGGGGATCACGAGTGACCAGGAGAATATGCATTGTGTCGGAACGTGAATTGCTTTGTCGTCAGGTAGCAATTCGTCGGCCCAGTCAGGGACGTGGGGATCGGTGGACAGTGAGTTGATTTGAAGTATTACATTGCATGAGGATGTGTTCAGGTCTCAGGAGCCAGGGTGATTTCTGCACAAGCGACAAGAGTAGTTGGTGTATGGTTTGTCTGGTTGTAGGGTAGATTTGCCAGGCGATGCTCGGAAGGTTGCTGGGGTGAGTGATCCACTGTGATCCACATAGTAGGCGAGTCAGCGAAGTTCAATACCTGGCAGAGGTAGAGAGGAAGGTTACGAGGGTGATAGTTGAGTCATCCTTACTGGGCTCTGGCGTAATCTGTGGAAACAGTGCAGGTTTCAGAATTGAACGCGTTTGAAAATATTACACGATGATCTCCCAACAGCGCTTCCAACAGCCTAATGACCATGATCCGATGGTCAACCTTGCCGTCGGCTCAAGGGTGTGTTTACAGGGTATTTAGCTTCTCTATCTCCCTCTCCTCTTTTCTTTCAGAGCTGGCCTCTGTTTCTACTGTCCCCGACAACCTCAAGACCTCACGATGTTATCGACAAAATCTCCCTCGTTCTTCATTCTTTTCCTGTCCGCATTACTCGCACTCGCACTCGTTGTCTCGGAATCGAGTGCTCTTCCAGTGGACGCCGGTCCCATCCAGCACGTAAACAGCTCTATTAACTGGATCGATCTCACAGAATCAGACCTTGCAAACGCTACCACGCACGAGCTCGACCGTCGTCTTATGCAAGACTTCAACGTGAACGACTATGCTAAACTGGGGTACATGACATATGTTTCGAAAGTGAGCATTTTCCGACGCACCCCAACTTGAATGTATGAATGAGTTGTTATAGGAAGATGCAGAGGAATACGTGAAACATAAAACTTTTACGGCTATCCCTGGACTGGAAAAGTACCGTCCGGTGGGACAGGGCGCGTATCTTGATCCAAAAGTTTTCACGTATGGTTCTAGCAAGTATGTAGGGTCTGTTCGAGTTGACAGTCACCCAAACTGATTTGGGAAATATCTTTGTTTTTCCAGTCAACACTGCAAGGTCTCTCCCCTCCTCGTTACCTCGTTCCTTCTTCCTCTATGTATTATCATGGCTCATGATATCTCAGTGTGTAGCAGTCATACCGAAGAAAACATTGACCAAAACGCCTAGGGTACGAACACTGTTATGTTTTTTTTTGTGCTTGCGCACCTGCAGGTCCTCCAGGTTGACCATAATATTCATTCATTATCCGTAGTTATTCGTCCCAAACGATGTAATGCACATGGTACCACAGTGGATCTACGCCCAGGGGTACAAGGAATCACCTCTGCTTTTCTACAAACCGGCGGAATCCACATCTGTGCAGTTGGTCATTCCGTTCCAATATCTCGCGAAATCCCCCCGACATGAGAATGAGAAGATACATGCAGAAGGCAATCCGAAGAATATTTATGTCAATTGTTATGAAAATGGTAAGTTATTTCAAATCGTCTAAAACCTCACTATTTGGTGCGGTGTTCTCTTCATTTTACTCACTGCAACTTTTTATTTTGTGATGGATGTATAGATCGCCCTTTGGGTTCTACCAAAGCAGAAAAGGAGGTGATGGAGTGGGAGACCTGGAATGTCAAACATTGGCCGACAGGTTTGAAGTCATCCGGCAATTTTTGAAACACTATCAGTCATATCATGGCAATTCTTGAGCTGATATAAGTATATACAATACAATTGTGATGTCTTCCTGTCCGCACAGAGAACAAAAAATTATAGAACCTGCCAGGACGTGCTGTCATGAACGGTGTCATGTCCTAGGTTATGCTTCACTTTCCTGCCACAGTGTCAGTCCCAGGCTAGGACCCGAATAATTCACCTGAAGTAAAAGTTGTTTCCTACTTCGGGCAAATTTTGGAAATTTTTTCAAGAAATTCGTTCTGGGGAAGCACTTTACAAAGCAAGATTTAGATGGTGAGGAGGAGGATGTAACTAGTGATAAATGTTGTATCTGGGCAGTTATTGATTGATTGTACTATTACTCTTACTCTACACTCTCATCTTTGTACTACGTACCTCTGCCTTGTTGACCTGGCGGTAGTCTACCTTCTCCTCGTGGGTTGAGCTTGCTGCCGCCAGTGCCTCGAGACTGGCTGTTCCACATTTGGGACCACATCTTCGGATGGCGCCGTGTATTTATCTATCTATCTGTTCGATTTTCGGACATCTTTGTTTTTGATAGATACCTGATAGATACATAGATAGATTGACACATGGCACCGTCTCGGAGAATGTTGAACTGCTGCAGCACTCAAACACTCTAATACCCATTTTGAGTCATTCCAACACATTTGTTGACCCCAGGCAGCCTAACAGAAGATGTTACTTGCACAGCTTTGATAGAGACCAAGAGAAAGGGTCATATACTAAAATTGATCAGCAAAGAAGCATATACTTAACAGTCCCCCTGGTAGAGGTACATTCATTCACCAACTCTCAAGGTCAATGAGGCATTGGTGAAGTGGGTAAATCCCCAAATTACTGGTCCCCCCAAAGGCAAGATCTGAAACAGATCAAATTCGTACAAGAATGAGGCAATGACAAGCATTAGCCCCTATCAACATTCAAGCAACAAGAAATCCTATGTAGAGTTTACAAACAACATACTAGTCCCAACCACTTTTTTTTCTTTTCTTTCTTTTTTGTGTATACCTCTTGGGTGAGATATGCTGGTTGAGATGGAGCCTTATGCTTTCAAACAGAACTAGATTACCACACACAAGGATAGATGTGAGTCCTTAAATATGATCTAGAGCTTAAATTAACAGAAAGAGTTCACCTTGTAGAAATTGGCACTGATGGGGTGCAGGTCGATCCAGTTTCCTGAACCACTGAGACTGGGTTAGGAGGGCACAATGTATCGCTGCTGTCAACAAGTGCCCCAGAGTCGGTGTTCTGATGTTTAATAATGTTAAAAGCACCACATGAGTCAGTATCCCAACAGATAAAAACAATCCAAATCAAGCACTTACCGAGTAAACACAAGTAACATTGAAGCTAGGGATAGGAGGCAAGTTGGATGTCACTGTGTAGCTGTGGAAGATTCAGTCTGGTTAGCTAGATGTTACCAGGAAACAGTGGAACCATTTGAGTTAGAGCTTACTTGCACTGAAGATTGCCACCCACTTCACCCTGTCCAGATAGGAAGATGATTGAGTTGTCAGGTAATCCAACACTACCGGTGAGATTGTTGTTGCAAACGGCACAATTAATGGTTTGCTGTTGAGCATTCGCCATAGGCCCCATCATGGCAGTGGCAGCGAGAGCGAGAAAGAGCAGCTTCAGCACCATGGTAGATGTTTGACTTAGAGAAAAGGGTGACAGAGTGAGGCTGAGAAATCTAAAGAAAATCCTTTGGAACTTACTTCCTCTATCATTTCGTGGAGGGATTTTTATATCCATCTAGTTTATCATTATTTGGACTGAACGAGAATTTCGCAAGCGAGCTCTGGCGCAGGCCAAACGAGAAGGTAGAAGCTTGAATATATTTTGATTCTTACAATATGAGTTTGGTACGAGTTTGATACAAGGTAAGCTTGAGGCTAGCGGCTACTGCGCGAGGAACCGCGATCGAAATCATACGATCTCACCCAGAACTTGGATCCTTCATGGCGATGATGAGCCTATGAATCGATTCCGTCGATGTAACAGCGGCGCAGAGAGACGAAGAGAAGCTGGAAGAAAAAAGAAAGGTCGAGTCGTTCGGTATCGGCACTGGCCGCAGAATGGCGCCTGGGCGGTTACTATACGAGCGCTATGTAGCTAACACTTGTCACTAGTCCATCTACTTCAAGTTCAACTATTCCTTGAGCTTCATGAATCCAGGATTACGGAAAGATATGCTTCGGTGCCAGGACATTAAAAAAGGCTCCAAATTTTCAATTCCCCTGCCTTAATCAGCAAATGGTCTTCTGATGCAGATGGTCCAGTTTCGTCCAGAGTGGAGCTCAATGGCAGTTTATTACTAAACGGCGAGAGGCGAAGAGAAGAGAATAGCTGGCAAAATGAGTAGCTAGAAGGTCATTAGAGCGGAGTCTTCTTAGATGCAAGGCCTGCATCGCACACTATCGCACAAAGTCGTGTGAGTTGCAATGATGAATCACAGTGATCCTGGCTGTTCATCTTGTCACGGTTCTACTATCCCAACTCAGTTAAAACGATTTAGTTCATTAAATTTATGTTTCACGAAAGCTGGAATGGCCGAGTCGTTAAGGCGATAGATTTGAATTTCATTATATCTATTACTCTCTGAGTGCGTAGGTTCAAATCCTGCTTCCAGCGTATGAAAGTGCTTGTGTTTTTTTTTGGCCCCTGACTGTAGGAGAGATGAAGGAAGTTATCAAAGTAACAATTCATGGTAGCGATCGTCTGCAACTTGAAATTCCCATCAGGCAACTTGAAATACATACAGGTAGCTACTTCCGTTAATACTTACTTCGCTCCTCCACCTCTTTCTGGATCTGACTTTCCACCCTCATTTTCCATCGCCTTCGCTCTCGCAACCTCATCCCTGACCTTCTCTCCCTCTCTCCTCCACTCCCGTTTCTCAAATGCGTCCCAAGCGTCTTTCGAGTCTAACCAACGTTCCTGCAAAACGAGAGAGAAAGGAAGTGAGCAGGATAGTGGGAAGGGTAATATGAGATTACAGGAGATGTGACAAGCACGTATATAATTAATGAAGACAGTCATGGGAAGAAGTTGGAGCAAGGACGATGGAATTCCAGCAAATAAAGATTTGGAGGTAGCCAAGGAAATCAAGGAAAACGTCGTCACATACCTGTACGTCTCTCACATCATACACATCCTTCGCTTCAGCAAATCTAGTTCCAGCGCTCCCTCCCCCCGCCATATTCATGAGGGTATTCTTCAAAGGTCCCGCCGCGCTCGAGAACAGCGCGTACTCGTTCGGCTGTGCGGAGACCGGCTTGTGTGATTCGTCGATCGTACCTTCTGGTTGAGGTTTTTTTGATGTGTGTGTGGAAGATGCATTGGAAGGCCGAGGGACAAAGACGTATCCCGTCGCACGGTCGATGGCGTGTGTTAGGTGGAGCATGGATGATTTATCCTGGTAGAGTGATGCTTAGTAAGGGGAAGACGAAGACGAATGTGTAGAAAAGCAAGAACAAGGGATTAAAAACGGAAGATACCCGAGTTAGCTTGAAACGCGTAGAAATCATGTGTGGACAATCGCATAATGAAAGACAAGATAAACAAGGGAAGAGGTAAGATTGGAAACCAATAATGGACAAATGATGGAAACAGAGTTTGACTCACTTCAACAGCAAGCGTCTCGAATCCGACCAGGTTATAATCCTCTATGAGCGAAATCATGGCCAAATTCAAAGCTTGAAATCGTGGTGAGAGCGAAGTCGAAAGCGAATTTTCGAGATACGTAAGATCTTGAACTTCAGTATAGAAATCGAGGTTGAAATCTGTTTACAAAGTGGTAAGATGATAGAGTAAAATACTATGATAAATGGAAAGGCTCAATCACAGACCTAGATCCCCATAATTCCCAATAAGATCAATCTTCGACAGCACATTAATATGTGGTAGCTCCAGCTGAAGCATCGTCCGTAGAGAAAGTAGCAAAACCGAGATATACTTTGCAGCATCGGTAACATAATGCGCGTCGCACAGATGAACCGCCGCTAGCTGGGCTGACAGTGTGTATTAGCCCAGGACGGAGAATAAAATATGAGGTTACCAAAAGTGAAAATACGTACCCGGAATCCAGATTTAGACTGTAACATATCTACGATCCGCTTCACACTCTCATGATTCGTACTCAGTTCCACTTGGCCTGGGAGGTCGAATAGAGCATATACGTCCGCAGGACCATTCTCTCCGTCTTCTTTGCCCAGTTCACCCAATTTCCCCTCCAACCAATCAAAATTCTTCTCTAAATACTCCATACAATACAACATTCCTCCGTTAGGTCCTAGACCGTGTTCATCCATGACTTCCTGCAGTGTGATTAGCTCGGAAATATCGATAGCACATGGGTATGGTATGTTATCGTTGGCCGGATCGAGGTTGACAATGTATATCGGCCTTTGGAGAGCAGTGAACAGTTGGTGTTTGCCATGGCAATAGGTAGATTTACCGGAGCCGGGGGATCCGCAGACAATTTCGCCAAATGGCATGGGCAAGCAGAAAAAGGTAGACCAGATTCAAAAAGAGTGGGGTTCAATTTAAAGATATTGAAGACGCGGTATTGACGCTTATTCAGCAAAAAGCGGTCACTCTCACTCAATCCGTGTTTTCGCTTACCAAGAATTATTGGACTCGACTTTCTCTTTTACAGTCTTTATGATATGTTTGAGCCCAGTTTGAGCAGGTTTGAGCCTACAGATGTAAACCAGTGTACACCGTTGGTAATCGTTGCACTTCACGGAAGCCTGCGGAAAGACTTGAAGATAAATTACCATGGCCGAAGGACCTTTCCCTGGTGGCGATTGATAGCGTTTGATGTGGAAGAAACTGGAAGAAAATCGTGGCTGGTACTCTCTAATACTTTCTCTGAGAGGCTGCAACCCACGAGTCACCAGTGACTGTGGAGAAATTTAGCTCCTCTGCCGGCTGCTCTTGAGCAGTCTTGAGCTTGAACGGTTATTCCAGGTGAATCGCGTATTAGTTGCCTGGTTTTACTCAACTGATTCTCATCTTGATTCCTCCGCCGCTCTCCTCCGTCGCCACCTGCCAGCGGCTTATTGAATGCGCACCTATGTACCTATGTGCGCCAACTTGCCGATTATATATCACTTGATATATGAGGATGATCTTGAACAAATTTGGACGATGATACAAATCCCGAGTCCACCCATCGGGAGCGGAAGTGATGGAGAAAAGAGATCCCAAGGACAGCCAAAGACCCAGGGGCATTAGGCTATAAATACCAGGCCATCTTCATGCTTTCTTCTCCAGAGCTTCTTCTGAGCCCCCCTGCACCTCGCACTTTCCATCTAGTGCCCCTACAGTCGAACCACCCTCAACCAGATTGAATCCAAGCGCACTTCCTAGAAGCTCATCTCGGTCATGGCTCGTTGGTCTCGTCTTTTCGAATACGTATTTGTTTGCGTTGTCGTCCTAGGCCTCGCTCAGTCAACAATCGCGGGCCCGCTACCTGTGTATGTACACTCTCAACATCTATCATTTGACATTGACTTACGTGCTCATTATAGATCGTCTCAAAGTGAGGTTGCGCGCAGCGAATTCTGTGTGGAATGTATCGACCGCATTATTCTTCATCCTGGCCGCCGTGCAGAATAAACCATATTTCGTTTATATTTATTCTTTTTTTTGTCGGAATTTTTCTGTGTGAGTCGCCTCTGCTTTTTCTTGGGGGTTTGAGTCTATACTCAATGTGTTGGTCTCATGAATTATTCTCTATGTCACTGTAGGTTTCAAATCGGAGATGGAGAAAGAAATATCATGCCTTGCCTCTTTGTCCAGTACCAATAGGAGCATACGCTCTAGTACGCCGAGAGTGCACCCTTGTCATACCTTTTTCATACCGGTTTCGAGTTTTGTTCATTTGCCAATCTCCATGTTGTTTTGCCGTTGATCATCGACGGGTGAACAGTTTCAGAACACGAATATCGCATCAAATCCTCAGGCCTCTGAATTTCGAACTCTTTGCATTTGAGTCCGCCGTCCATGGACTCAGAGGCCCAAAAGACGGAACCGAAGTTTTGTGATAAGGCGCCTCGAGCTCGCCTATTAGAATAAAAACAGTGATAAACCCATCCCGATTGAGTATAGCTCGGACGCTTAACTCCTGCCTGTGGAATGTCCAGTGACCAGCATTGCGAATTACGAGCTTTTGTCGCTTACTCTCTAATGTGACCGTTCCACCATCACCTCCTACCAGAATTGACATGGTCATCGGACATCCTGCATCGCGCTCTCGAGACTTGAAACTTGAAGCTGAGTCTGGCTCGAATCAGTGATCAGCGCTTCGCGCCACTTATCTGAAATTAACCGTGGTTAGTACAGTAACGTTCAATCGTGACTTCTACCTCCTTAGAAAGAATTCATTTCCTATTAAATAGCTGATGCACGGACGATCTGCATTTCCTTATATCTGTCGGCTTTAGATCAAGCATCTGTTTTCGCTGAACTCTTGTTGCAAATGAGGGTGCCAACGAGGGACGGCTTCTCAAGTACATCGGAATCGACGGTAGGTTCCGTTTCTCTGATAAAGTTGGTCGGTGATCATTCTAATCCGAGTGTGTTCAATGACTGATACGAAACGAGTAGTGTAATATACACCTTCTTGTTGCTGCCTAAATTCTTGATTTTTCTTGATTTTTCCTCGTGCCCAAAAGGTGTCTCTCCTCCTGTCTGAGTTTCATTTTACTCGTTAATTTCTTTCGCATAGCGCCGTGCAAAACGGACCGTTCCACCACTCCCAACATAAAGCATACCATGGCAGCCATGCACATTGCAAACTTTTTTGTACATGTTTCATGCTCCCCGGTCATACCAACTTTGAACTTGATCGATTGATGTACAAGGTAGGCATTCAAAAGTTCCTTCGCCTCGTGCCCGAATCTGAACAGCTGCAAGGACGGCAGGCCGCTACCTGTCGCTGCAGAACCTGCAGAAATGAACGTGCGCATTGTTTGAATTTGAACGTGACTAGCGATGTTTTGACTTCTACAACAGTGTATTTATTTGCCTCTTGAGCCCTACTGCCAGCTTGCTTCCGATTTTCTTTTGAAAGCTTGGGAAGTCCGGTCGATATTTTATCTTTTCGTCTATATTTGACTTGCGGTGACCCTCTTCAGCGATTCGAAAGGATCGGGCGATGTTCTCCACAAGAAATGGCCAGGCCGCTCCTGGTGTCAAGGTCAGCTTAGTCCAATCTCATTGTTTGCCAGTAGATGACTTCGCAACCCTAGAACTTTGGTATACAGGGGCCTTCGAAAGGTTTCTCAGGTGTACGAGTTTTCAAAGGACCAACGCTCTCGTCTTTCAATCTTAATCCGTTCTCTACCGTATCAGCCCACTTCGACTCATTCGATGTTGGATATCGACCGAGTCAGCCAGACCTTCCCCAGAGACACGGTGGGCACCCGCCTAGGAATCAGCAGCAGCCTCCAAGGAACTGGCAAGCTCACAATAATATGTATGCATCATCTAATGCACCACCGCCACCTGCATCCCATACATATCAACAAAATCCCATGGCCCATTTCGGTGTCCGCACAGCGTCTCAGTCTTCAGGGTCTCGATCTCAAGAACCACCAAGACACCGTGATGTTCAGCCGCAACCA